CCATTGATTTTTAGAAACTGATCAGTAATTGAAGCTCTTAATGCTGTAATTACGGAATTAATGGATCTCAAACATAAGAAAAAAAACTTACTTTTGTTACAGTAGAATAAATAATCATAACGATTGTGAAACGTAATTTTTTAAGAAATTAATTTTAAGTATTTAATCATTGTCTATTATAATGCTTACAAATAGCTTATTCAAACGAATTAGAATTTGATTTATTCTATTTATTATTTAATTAACAATGATAATTACGATTTGATTATGCTAATCACCCTCAGTATTTAAACAACTGTAATGACTATTTTATATTATCGTGACACAGATATGATACATTTTTCGACTACGAGTGATGTAAGTATAAATAGATATATAAATAAGTTTTTGTTATAAGAGTGTCGAGTTCTTATACTAAGTTGAGAAAAACTAATTTATTTGAATCTATCAAACTAAATGATAATGTTTATCCAAGTTCTTATCACTACACTTATTTCTTCTGGGCTCGCCTGGGTAAATATAAATATTTTACTGATCATATTATATATGTGTGAATATGCTTTTTATGTTTATATAAGTCTTACTCCTCTAGTCTTGCAAAAGACTGTTATTGAGAAAGACTGTATTTAATATTTTTGCATATTATATAAGTAAGAAAAATTCAGCACTTGCCCGTCAAAAGTTGTCAGATGTTCTATAGGAAAAAATTACGGATAGCTTCTTAATGAAATAACATCGAATTTCTGTGAATTGCATCTTAAAGCCCATTAAGGGGTTACATGGGTTTCTTCCGGGAGAAATGGCCTATTTTCAACAATTTTTTTTTAATAAAAAAATGACATATTTTATTCAAACTTTTTACTGTCTCAAAGATACATTTTTAATAAGGGATAACTGAAATTAAAAAAAAAATATTAAAAACGATGCAAATGTGACGTCATTTCTGGCGAGCCTTCGGAAAAAATATGCGTCCGCGTGATCAGCAGAACTCCAAGCAGGATCATCAGAAGTGAAAAAAAAAAATTAGAAAAACGGCAAACCTTGAAGGCCATCCTTGCATATTCCCGCTAATTCCATACCTAGGTGCTTAAATAGTACTAATGATGTTTTTGAGCTCTCCAAGCTCAAAAATACAATTTATGTGTTATTTTGAGCTCTTCGAGCTTAAAAAGATGGCTGTTCTATGCTTTTGAGCTCTTCGAGAACGATATTTTTTGAATTTTCAAACCGCAATAACTTTTGAATGAATCAACCGATTTTCACGCGAATTGCGCCATTCGACGCAGTAGGAAATTTGAAGTAATTCGGAAAAAAACACTTTTTTCGGTTTTCTTTCGTTCACGATATCTCGAACGAATTGACCGATTTTCATCGGCTTGACGGTGATCGACGTCATTTTTTATGTTAATAGCTGATTAGTTTCTGAAATTGATCGGTAAAGCCGTTTAACAGTTATTCCAAAAAATGCCGGAGTTATGTTAAAAAACACTTGTTTTCAAATATTTCGTCGAGGATATTTCTCGAACCAATCAACCGATTTTTACGTTCTTGGCGGCGATCGACGCGATTTTTGAGTTCTAAAAATTATTTCCTTTCATCAAAAACGATCCGAAAAGAAATCTCGAAGTTATGTGAAAAAAACAATTTTTTCGTTTTTCTTTCGTTCACGATATCTCTTGAACGAATCAATCGATTTTGACCTGATCAGCGACGATGGACGTGGTTTTTCAAGGTTAAAAGCGTATTAGTGTTTAGAGTTGATCGATGAAGCTAGCATATTAAGTAGCCGTTTAAAAATTATTCCTAAAGAACCACTTTCAAAACAATTTTTAACTTCCCGTTATGAAAATTGAAAATTTTCAAAAATCGGGAAGTTATTGGTTTTACCCCGTTTTGCAAAAATCGCGTTTTCATCAGATCTTGACGTTTTAAGGTCACAGGAAGCTTCCCTGACTATTCCCGCGATGGTGTCCGTGCGGCTGTATGTATGTATGTGTGTGTGTGTGTGTGTGTGTGTGTGTGTGTGTGTGTGTGTGTGTGTGTGTGTGTGTGTGTGTGTGTGTGTGTGTGTGTGTGTGTGTGTGTGTGTGTGTGTGTACTCTTATAACGTTTTGACGGTTTGGTCAATCGGATCGAAATAGGTGGTAATTCAAAGAGTGTATCATTGCCATTAAATTTCGTAAAAATTTGAATCGATTCGGTTTGCTAGATTTTCAGAAATCTCAAAAATAAAATTTTCAAAAAATCGTTTTTTTTAGAATAACATCAAATGGCTCCACCGATCATTTCCAAAAACTAATTTGCTCTTAAATTTGAAAAACTACGTCGATTGCCACCGGTCCTGTCAAAATCGGTTGATTTGTTCGAGAATTATCAAAAACGAAAAATTTCAAAAAAATGCTTTTTTTACATAACTTTGACATTTCTTTTTGGAACCTTTTTCGAAGAAATAAAATAATTATTAGAGCCCAAAAA